ATCACAACCAGCATTTTTGTTTTCTAAACTTTTGATTTTGAGGTAACTAGATTTAAATATGGTTGTAAGAAACAATACAGAGAGATCCTGTATACCTTCCACTTGGTTTCCCCACCATGCTAACATCTTGTATAATTGTAGTGTAGCATCACAGCCAAGAAAAGGTCATTGGTATAGTCCACCCACCTTCTTCAGATTTGCTGCACTGTATGTGGTGTACATCTGTGCATTGTTGTCATATGTGTAGCTTTATGTGACACCAGCATTTTTAAGCAATTGAATAGTATCAGAGTGTATCGCATCTATTAAGGGTAAGTTGATTTGGAAATGTATATTAGTTACATATGCACATCATGACTGGATTATAGAAATGTCTTCTGACTGTGAGTCACAGTGGAGAATTTTGAAAACCACAGGTCGTTCAGTCATCAGACTTCGTTTTTATTTCACTAAAATGGGCTGCTAGAGAGCTCAGGGTACTCTGATAGTTCTAATTGGCTGCTCAGGGTGCCCCTGACCACTTCTGGTACTTGGAAAACCTAGATTAATTGGATATATTGACAGCAACGTATGCATTCTCTACCTCATGAGTTATTTAAGGGGTTTTCAGGTGTAATTTTGACTAGAAGCAGTTTTTGCTCTTTTTTTATTTTAATTTTAGTTTTTAGAGACAGGGTCTCACTGTGTTGCTGAGGCTGTACTCAAGCTCCTGACCTCCGGAGTAGCTGGGACTATAGGCACCTGCCACCATGTCCAGCTGAGTTTTTGCTTTCTTCCTTAGTAGAACATAACTAATGTTGGAGCTCACTGTACTCTCTTGCCAGTAGCAGGAATCCGATTTCTGGTAGGTACTGTAGATGGCAGAACCAAGGTTGCTTAGAAGATATGGAGTTAGGAGAAAAATGAAAAGGCATAAATATTTTCTACAGCAGTAAATCCTAAGGAAGTAACTAGTTCCAAGATGCTTTGTCAACATTAAAAATCCATAGTGCAGGCTGAGCACAGTGGCTTACACCTGTAATTGTAGCACTTTGTGAGGATAAGGAAGGAAGACTGCTTGAGCCCAGGAGTTGAAGACCAGCCTGGGTAACAGTGAGACTCCTTCTCCATCTCTATAAAAAACTTAATCTGGCCGGGCGTAGTGGCTCACACCTGTAATCCCAGCACTTTGGGAGGCCAGGGCGGCTGAATCACCTGAGGTCACGTTGAGACCAGCCTGGCCAACACGGTGCAACCTCATCTCTACTAAAAATACAAAAATTAGCTGGGCATGGTGGCGGGTGCTTGTAATCCCAGCTACTCTGGAGGCAGAGACAGGAGAATCACTTGAACCCAGGAGGCGGAGGTTGCAGTGAGCCAAGATCATGCCATTGCACTCCAGCTTGGGCGACAAGAGAAAAACTCTCCAATAAATAATCTCACCAATAAATAAGTCTGTAGTGCAGCCTGGACAACATGGCGAGACCCTGCCTCTACAAAAAATAAAAATTGGCTGGATGTGGTGGTGCATGCATGTGGTCCCAGCTACTCGAGGCTGAGGCAGGAGGATTGCTTGAGCCCTGAAGGTCAAGCCTGCAATGAGCTGTGTGTGCCTCTCCACTCCACCCTGGGCAACAGAGTGAGACCCGGTCTCAGAAAAAAAAAAATCCATACTGGTGTAAACCCCTGTCCAGATTGACTCTTCTCTTAACAAGGACACACTTGGTGTTAGTACGGATCCAGCCTCAAAGACCCTCCTCACAGATGAAGCAGCCCACTGTGACCAGTTGAGGCCTTACGACCGCAGGAAGAACGTCTGAGGATGAGGGTCAAGCACACTGAGAGTGTGGGCTGGGAAAAGGGGATCTAGTTGTTTCTTCCTAGTCTCAGGAAGCCAGTGCCCCAAGGGTTCACACCTGGGAGGTGCAGGTGTCCTTGGATATGGGCTGTAGAGGAACAGTTTGAATCCAGGTTCTGCCATCCAATAGCTGTGTGACAACAAATCTCTTAATCTGAGCCCTGGTAACCTCATTTAAATTGGGCATTTACCTGAGGATTTGTAAAAGGAAAAGAGAATAAATGTCTCTTACATGGTAAGCATTATGATGCCTGTAATTATAACGTCACTTAATGAATCTTGGTTCCCTTTATACACCCAAGGGGATCAGAAGTGACAGGCTGCTGCCCCAGCAAAGTCCCGCAGAAGCCAACCCTCATTCAGTGCTTGGGGTTTCCTAGGCTTTCCCCAAGGTAGTTGGTATTTTGGTATTTTCCCCTGCTTGAATGGCCCTTACTGCCCGGGCAAGGCAGGTAGGAATCTCCATGTCTGGAAAAAGTGGGACCTGGGGCAAGCTGCAAGCCAAAAATTAGAAACTTGGCAGGAAAGACACTAAGACTAACAGGAAGTGGAAGGGTGGACTTGGAGGAGGCATTGAAACCAAGAAAAGGAAATAGCTCTAGCTGCTGCCTCAGCCTTCTTGGGGGGAGCCGTTACTTGGAGTTGTTTGCCATTAAGTTACCCTCATTTGGAGTAGTACTGATGGGTGCTCAACCGGAACTTGGGTCTACTCTGATGGTGATTTTGAGTTCAAGCAATGCTGCCCCCTACTGGGGGTTGCTAAAAGCACTGCCATTTCTGGGCGGGCGGGGGGTGGTTTGTTGTTTTTGGTTTTAGTTTCTTTTGGTTTTTTTTTTTGGGACAGAGTCTCACTCTGTTGCCCAGGCTGGAGTGCAGTGGCACGATCTTGGCTCACTGCAACCTCCGCCTCCCGGGTTCAAGCAGTTCTGCCTCAGCCTCCTGAGTAGCTGGGCCTACAGGCACATGCCACCACGCCCGGCTAATTTTTTGTATTTTTAGTAGAGACAGGGTTTCACTGTGTTAGCCAGGATGGTCTGCATCTCCTGACCTTGTGATCCACCCGCCTCGGCCTCCCAAAGTGCTGGGATTACAGGCATGATCCACTGCGCCTGGCTCTGATTTTTTTTTAATTATTATTTTGAGGCAGGGTCTCACGCTGTCACCCAGGCGCCATGAAGGCTCACGGCAGCCTCGACCTCCTGGACTCCAGCGATCTTCCCACCTCAGCCTCCTGAGTAGCTGGAACCACACAACATATACCACTGTGCTCAGCTAATCTTTATTTTTTGTAGAGACGGAGTCTCACCACGTTGCCCAGTCCTCAGCCTCTTAAAAGTGCTGGGATTACAGGCATGAGTGTGAAGTGTTAAACAGCGGCTCAGGGAGGCCAACCAGGGTCCAAGAAACCCCGTCCCTGCTGCCTCCACTGGTCCAGAGCTAGTACCCCCAGCCAGCATGACACTCATGTCCCAGACATTGTGGGTCAACAGAAATTCAGATAGCTAAGAGAATGGAAACGGACAAAGGAGGCACAGGAGGATTCCGTGCCAGAGTCTGGATTGGTCACCCCCGTTCAGGTTCTGCCTGAGGAAAGGAGAATGGGGTCCGGGCACAGTCGGCTGGATGGAGCATCTGAAGACAGCTTGCACCAGAGCCCTCGTGGCTGAAGGAAGAAGCCAGGGGGTGAGTCAACCCCAAGGCTTGATGGAACAGACAGGAACTAGATGATCTAGTAAGGGAGAAGCGAGGCTGAGCAAGAGACAGCCCAGGCTCCCTGGCTGCCACTGCCTAATCTGTCCCCCTTCACACATCCCACACACAGTGTTTAGACAGAGCAGCAGAGAAGAAACAGACATCCTGGATCCCGCGGGGAGCAGGCCGGGGCTGGGAACAGGAGGTCTGTTTATTCCTGGCAGTCCCATATCAGAAGGGTCCCACACCCACTTCTGTCCAGGCCCCAGGCTGAACTCTCCCAGAGCCTGTGACTTCTGCCCTACCATATCGCGTGGTTCTGAGGGCCGGCCCTGGAACCCTGCATCCTCCCCACCCACCAGCTCCCTCGAGGATGGATTTGAGGCTGGATGCTTTCGTCTTCCCACTTTTTGTCCCAACAGAAGTCCCTCCTCTTCAGGATCCCTGACTGACTGTGCAGAGCTGGCAGAGCCACACTCCGCGGACCTCCAGCCCTTCAGGCCCAGCTCTCCTGGAGAGCACGGAAGTCCGTTTGCTCCATTTACTTCTTCAGCCAGGAAGTGTTTCCTAATGTCTCACCCCCAGCGCCAGCTTTCCTGCTGCAGTTTCCGCCTGTTCCCTCCCATTTCAGGCCTTAAGGGAGTGTGGCTGGGCTTCTCTCCTCCCCCTCACTCCAAAGCCGCACTTGATACAAGGTGGAAATTGAGGCACCACTCCTCCTGGCTTCCCAGCCTTGAACTTGCCCTTCCCTCTCAGTGTACCTGGTTTCCTCAGTTTCCCTGTGCAGCAAAAGTGTCACTCCCCTCTTGCTTTTCCTAAGCTCCCCATGTGCCTCTCTCAGCAGATCTGTCTTAGAGAGGCCAGGTGCAGAGAAAAGCAAAAATCCTAATAATGTTCCTAGCGATCACTGCCTGTCACGGAGTGCTGAAGGACCAAGTACTGATCTGAGTCCTCATCACACGGGACCTCATTTAGTCTCACGATAGGTGAGTACAACTATGGGCCCCATTTTACAGATGAGGAAACTAAGGCAAGAGAACTTTAGTCATTTGCCCAAGCTCACCAGCTTTTAAAAGGATCCAGACAGCTCTGATTCCAGCGCCAGCTCATGCCTCTTCATTGTGGGGGAGGAAAGAGGGAGTCGTTTGTTGGAGCAAACCCCCACCCATCAAGGGCCAAGCCACTGGCGTATATGCAGCCATATGTGTTATGCTGTGATATGCCCCACCACGACCTTAATTAGAGGTGGTTTTTCTTGTTCCCATTTTAACACAGACAAAAACCGAGGCCCAGTAGTACCTTACCCAAGGTCACATCCCCAGAGCCATTTGTCCCTCATAGTTCAGAACTTAGAAAGCAGTTGAGAAAAGTATGGAATGACCCCAGATTCAGGAAGGCAAGTCTGGCCTTATAAACTGAAAGGCCCATCAGGCGATGGGATGGGGAAGTGAAGATCCTCAGGCCCCAAACACCCGCCACTGCCGCCATCACACACGGAAGTGTGGAGGGAGCCTGGTGTACTGTCAACTGACAGGCCAGTCCAAGGGCTTAAATGTAAATGCATCAGCTGAGGCGGGAAGTCAGGAGGGGTAAGTCAATCACTATTATTCATTAACTGGAATGCATTTCTCAGATTATTCCAAGCTGGAGTAGGGAAACTGCCACCTAGGTGGCAGGGCAGAGGGACACTGGGTGGGAGGGGGAGGCAGGCCTCCCAGTTGCTGCGGTTCAGAATATGCCAGGTCCCACCTCCCAGAGGCGGGGCCGGGGCTGAGTCCCGCCAGCCTCGTTTCTCCATCCCTCTGAGAACCCAGACAGGGGCAGAGCCTGGGTAGGAGAGCCTGGCCCCGCTGTCTCCACCGGGTGGAGACACCATGCGCTTGGTCCACTTGTGCTCTTCAGCCAGGACACCAGACATGGTCCAAACCCCTGCAGGGCTGGCTGCAGCAACTCCCTGACACTCAGGAAGGCCCAGGCTGGGCAGGCAATACCTGCTCCCAACAGCCATGTGAGTAGCTACTCCCCCAACCCCCAAACCCCAGATCCTGGAGAGGCCACTGCACCCAGCCCAAGCCACCAGACCCTCGGGGGTGTGCAGGTGGTACAGCCTGCACCCTGCTGGGAAATCCCCCCTAGGGGCTGCTCCCTGCCTTTGTCGCTGTTCTGGTGGAGGTGGGGTGGGGGGAATCTTTCCGATTAGGGTTGGGAGCTCCAGCTTAGGCCAGGTTTGGGGTAATGAACCCTGAGTCTCGCAGGGCTTGAGAGAGTTGATGGTGCTAGGGGGAAGGGAACAGAAACTGGAAGCCTCTAGAGAGGAAAAGACATCCTGGGTGGAGGGCACTGGAGGAGACTGAGGAAGAGAAAACATACTTAGGGGAGGGGAAAGGGGGCACAAGGCCTTGGAGGCCCGGATTCGGGGTGCTGGGGGAACCTGGGAAGGAAGGGGAGCATCTTCCTTCCTCTCAGCTCAGGGTGGCCATGGGGCCCTGATCCCCTGTCCTGGAGGAGGGGAGAGGTATGAATCCTTTCCTTATTGACTTGGATCCTAGCAACAGCAGCTGCTCCCCTGTTGACAGAAGCAGGAGTTCCCACAGGACCCAGGACCCCTCCCCCGTCCCCAGGATGTGGCAGCAGAGCCATGACACTGGAGGACTGAGACCAGGGAATGACGGGAAGGACAGGGACAGATGAGAGCCACAGAGAAGCCAGGCTTTGCCCACTGACTCCTCTTCCCTCTCCTTTGGGCTCAGCCTCAGGCCTGGGGGTGTTGGGGAGTCCCTGTCCTTGCTGCTGGCATCTCCATGTTCACTGCCACAGGTCCCCTCCTGCTGCTTCTCTCCTCCCTCCAGCTCCCAGGAAGGACCCTGTTGCTAGTGTGGAGCAAAGACGAGTCAAGTTTATGGGCTGGAAGTCCTACCCGGAGGCTGCTCACTGAGCTGTGATGGCTACAAGGACAGATAGGGGGAAGGGCACAGGGTGCCCGAGACCTGGCCCACTGGAGCCTGTCACCTCATGGCCGGCCAGAAGACCACTACACACCAGCCAGCCCTGGTCCATTCTTTTGGCTCATTTAGGGGCCTCCCCGGTGGAGGCAGGGATACACAAAATGCTTTGGGGCTGGATGGACCCGCCTTTCAGTCTAAACAAGAGACCTAAACACAGCTGCCCAGAAAAGGCAGCTACCAGAAATGGATAAAGCTGGCTGGGTGGGGACTGTCCGAAGGGCAGCCAGTGGTGAGCTCCGGCTGGTTGCTACCATATAGGACATATGTGTTGCCAGATGTGATTTTTCAATAGAAACCAAAGATAGTTTTTTATATAAATGTTTAATTGGCAATTAATTGAAAAATTCTGTGTATCAGCGAACATAATACAGCCCACAGCCTGCGGGTCTGTGCCCGTGGACTACCATGCCGCCCTGCCAGGAGGACACGACCTGCAGCCCCATCCTAACTCTGGCCACCCCATCCTGCAGGCATGCCGGCTGCCACTCCAGGACTCCCCCATCCTCAGGACCGAGATGACGCCCAACAGCACTGGCGAGGTGCCCAGCCCCATTCCCAAGGGGGTTCTGGGGCTCTCCCTGGCCCTGGCAAGCCTCATCGTCACGGCGAACCTGCTGCTAGCCTTGGGCATTGCCTGGGACCGCCACCTGCGCAGCCCGCCTGCTGGCTGCTTCTTCCTGAGCCTGCTGCTGGCTGGGCTGCTCACAGGTCTGGCATTGCCCACGTTGCCAGGGCTGTGGAACCAGAGTCGCCGGGGTTACTGGTCCTGCCTCCTCCTCTACTTGGCTCCCAACTTCTCCTTCCTCTCCCTGCTCGCCAACCTCCTGCTGGTGCACGGGGAGCGCTACATAGCAGTCCTGAGGCCACTCCAGCCCCCTGGGAGCACTCGGCTGGCCCTGCTCCTCACCTGGGCTGGCCCCCTGCTCTTTGCCAGTCTGCCCGCTCTGGGGTGGAACCACTGGACCCCTGGTGCCAACTGCAGCTCCCAGGCTATCTTCCCAGCCCCCTACCTCTACCTCGAAGTCTATGGGCTTCTGCTGCCCGCTGTGGGTGCTGCTGCCCTCCTCTCTGTCCGCGTGCTGGTCACTGCCCACCGCCAGCTGCAGGACATCCGCCGGTTGGAGCGGGCAGTGTGCCGCGATGAGCCCTCGGCCCTGGCCCGGGCCCTTACCTGGAGGCAGGCAAGGGCGCAGGCTGGAGCCATGCTGCTCTTCGGGCTGTGCTGGGGGCCCTACGTGGCCACACTGCTTCTCTCAGTCCTGGCCTATGAGCAGCGCCCACCACTGGGGCCCGGGACTCTGTTGTCCCTCATCTCCCTGGGAAGTGCCAGTGCAGCGGCAGTGCCCGTGGCCATGGGGCTGGGCGATCAGCGCTACACAGCCCCCTGGAGGGCAGCCGCCCAAAGGTGCCTGCAGGGGCTGCGGGGAAGAGCCTCCCGGGACAGTCCCGGCCCCAGCACTGCCTACCACCCAAGCAGCCAAAGCAGCGTCGACCTGGACTTGAACTAAAGGAAGGGCCTCTGCTGACTCCTACCAGAGCATCCATCCAGCTCAGCCACCCAGCCTGTCTCCACTGGGCCCCACTTCTCTGGATCAGAGACCCTGCCTCTATTTGACCCCACACTGACTGAATAAAGCTCCTCTGGCTGTTTATGCTTATCTCATTCCATATCTCAGGGCGAGGCAGGAGGAAACAGCTCAACACACCAACAACAGAAAGAACCTACAGACATACACATGGATTAAGGCAGAGTCGACTCCAGGCAGACAAGAAGTGTCGTGTGCACAGACCCTGGAGACGGGGAGCTGGCACATCTCAACATCCAGCCGACTCTGCGGGAGAGCCTTGCCCTGACGGGCCCCTAGCTAGCTCCTCCTAGGGTCCAGCCACCACAAAATCCACAGACGCTGTCTCTGGGAAGTATATTTTATTTACATTTTTAAAATCTTTAACTAGTATCTCTTCCTCCTTTCCACCCCCAGAGACTTGGGAAGGGAAAGAACGGGAACCTCAAACACCTACTCCCCACGTACAAATACACACCCCATGGCTCACACCAGCAAATGAAAGTGAAAGAGAAACAGGTCCGCCCCTCCCTCTGAAGGGCCCACCAAGTCTGGGCAAGGGTGGGAGGGCCCTGGGCTGGGTCTCTAAAGAGAAGAAAAGGAGAGGGGAGCAAGTCAGTTGAAGAGGCTGGAAAGTCATCCAGGGCCCCACCCTCCTCTTCCCTCTGTGCCCTACTGCCTCTGCTGGCAGGCGGGGGCAGGGGTCCCTCCGTCCCCTCAACACCAGACACACAGGCAGGGGCTGCAGCCATTAACGGTCAGGCCTCTGGACACAAAATACTTTCGCTTTGTGGTCTCCTGACGTGGTCACCACCAGGGAGGCATCTCTATAAACAGAAAGTATGTGATTGCAGAGACGGGGGGACCCAAGCCCACCACCCAGGGGCCCTAGGGTGGGCTCCTCCAGCATACCCTCAGTTCTAGGGCCCTAGTGCCCAGCACTGGGCCGACATCTCTGCAGCCAGCATGGAGGGAATTAGAGGAAGCCCCCAGCACAGGAGAAGCAGAGCTGACTCCGATGGGGAAAATCAGTCTCAGCCTCTCCCTCATGACTGAAATGTGGGGCCCTGGAGGGTCACTATCAGTCACTGGGGTGGGGGCTAGGCTGTGAACCCTCAAGCTTCCCAGCATCCCTGTCTTAGGAATCCCCTCCCACACCCCAAGGATCCTGTGTCCCCCACTACTCCCACCTTCCAAATACACAGAGATCCCAGCCCTTGGCCAATTCACTTACTTGCTGAGGGCAAAGTCCAGGATCTCAGCCGTGTGGCCCCGGTAGTCAGTAAGCAGGCGGCCGGTCCGGGCATCCCAGAGGCGCACAATGCCATCCAGGCTGCAGGTATAAACCACAGCAGTGCCTGCCTCCCACAGCAGCTGCACGATGCCCGACTGCCTCGAGGAATGACAGAGGCAGGGCAGAGGTTGGCAGGAGAGCTGAGAGCCATCTGCTCCCGATTCTCACAAAGAGGGACAACCACACACAACGGCCAGGCAGGAGCCAGATCTGGGGTAGATGCTCCTGGAGGCCTGGGTTTTCCCTCCACCATGGCCACAGCCCACACAACCCCAGCTCCAGCTGCCCGTACCTGGTGCTGACACTGATGCCTAAGAGTCTGCGTAGCCAGGTCATAGATGGCCAAGGTCCCATCCAGGTAGCCAACAGCTGCCAGGGGCATCCTGGGCAAAGGAGCGCACCATGAAGACTCATAAGGGCCTGGACTCACACGCCCTGCCCTCCCCCCCGGGGCCCCGAGCCCAGGCTCCTCCCACAAACCCCTCTCCCCATCCTCACTCACACACTGCAGAAGCCCAAGGACTCCACCGAGTTGGACTCACTCTCCTCCCCTTCTCCCAGGCTGGGCTGGGTGGCCACAGTCTCAGGTCTAAAAACACCCACCACCTGAAAGCCAGAGAGGATCAGAGGAGGGCCCGGAATCCGGGTGCTTGATGGAGAGAAAGATGGTGGGAAGAGGAGACAGTGAAGACCCAGGAAGGAAGGAGAGGAGTCGAGAAAGCGGAGGCCCCAGCCGGGCTCCAGGTCAACTCACCTTGCCAGTGGTGGCACTGACCAGCTTGGCTTGGCAGTCCACAGAGCCAGTTAGGATCAAGCTACCATCCTGGTTGGTGGCAACACAGGTGAGTGGGCCCTGGTGACCCTCAGTCCCTAGCATAGAGCAGGGAGGCAGTCAGGCTTCATCCTACCTCTCCTCTGAGTCCTCCCCCAGGATCTCAGCCCCTCCCGACAAAGGCCCAGGCTAACACTTCCCCCACCTCTGATACCTTTCAGTACATGGATGGGGCTTCCCTGCTTCAGGTCCCAAATCCTGATGGTGCCATCTTCGTAGCCTACCACAGCTCTCTTCCCTGAAGAGAGGCACAGATGAAGGGAGGGCAGAGGGCACGCTCAGATACACTAAGCAAGGGAACGGGGAGAGGGAGAGGAAAGAAGAGTGGAAGCGCCCAGACGCTGCCCCAGGAATCACAGGTGAGTTCAGAGCAGGAAGGAGGCACTATGAGCTTTGGGGCCCGAGGGTCAGCACTCCAAAGAGCAGGCCTGAGTTTGCCGGCTGTGGCCCAGAAGGCTGCTCCGGGAGGTGTATATCCGGGGATTCGGCCTCTGCACCCAGGAAAGGACACTCAAGGGAGGTGCTCTCACCATCAGGGAGGACTCGGCCACAGGTGGCTGGGCAGTTGGGACCCTGGAAGGTCTTGCAGTCACCATTCGGGACCTTCCACATCCAGGTGTTGCCGTCAGCTGTGCCCGCCAACAGGACAGGTGCCCGAGGATGCCACTCCATCCACTGGACAGGGAGGAAGGGGCAGCAGGGAGGCCCGTAACCCCATCCCACCTAGAAGCCTGTCCTATGAGCTCCACCCGAGGTTTCCTGCCTCTGGGGTTCCGAGGGGATTTTCCAGGTAGCAGGCAGACCTTCTTCCTGTGCCTTGGGGCGCACTGGCTCAGAGCTGGCTTGGCGCAATAAGGAAGAACTGGCCTCCCAAGCTTGCACACCCAGCAACCCAAGGCCCCACAGAGCTGACTCCCGCTCTGATGATCTTACCTCCAGGTCTCCCGCTTCAAAGGACCAGACCTCCTCCTTGGTGTCCACCTGCCACACTTTCAAGAGGCCACTCATGTCCCCTGTGGCCACTAGAGTGGAGTCATGGCTGAAACCCGCACAAGTCACAGAGTCTTTATGGCCTTCAAAGAAAAGTGGGCAGAAAGAGAGGAAAACAATAGGGTACCTGGTGCTGGGGGCATGTGATTCTGGTATCTGGCCCCCTGAAACGACCAGCTAGGAAAAAAAGAGGGGCGGGCCTGAGCAGAACAGGTGCTGGAACTCACTGCCGCTCTAGGAACCAACCCTCCCATGTCTCGCCAGGAGAGACACTGCTGGCCGCCACTCAAGCAGGCCAAGCCCCAGCCTCCCATGCCTTCCCCCTTCTGTCCACTCTACTCTGCCCACAATCCCAAGTCCTCCCCTCTGCCCAACTGCTCCTATACCAATGTGACCTCCTCTGGCCTTTCCTAGACTCCCTTGGCCAATGAGTGCCTCCTGCCTCTGTGCCCAAAACACACTAGTATTCTCCCCGTGTCCCTGGGGCCCAGCACACAGCTGGCACAAAAGAGATGTCACTAAGTGGCTATTGGATGCACGACCACTGCGGGCCAGGCTCCTAAGATCTCCCAAAGGAATATGACTTCTCCCAGGCCTCTACCTCAGCCCCCTCACCTGCACACTCAAAGAGCAGCTCCCCATCGCTGAGCCGCCATACAAAGGCTTTGTCATCTTCACCCCCGGTCACTGCCAAGGTGTTGGTCTTAGGGTCCAGGCTCACACAAAACACAGATGCTGTCCCAAGAGATATTCCATGGGTAAGGGGACAGACCTCCCACCTAGGGCTCTGTCCTTCAGAACCTTCAGGAAACCCACCCCCTTTCACCCAAAGCAATGTGTCTTTCCTCCTGGAAAACACAGGCACATCCAAGTTCTTCTAAGTTTCAAGAATTGGGTTGTTAAGATCCTTCCCATATTTGCCAAGCTCCCTATTTGCCAGAGCAGATCCCCCGTGTGACTCCCCTCACCACCCGGCACCAATGCCATGGACAAGAGGTGGGTACAGGTGCAGGGCTTACAGGTCTCAGCATGGGATGCCACCGGGTTGCGTACAGAGTGACGAGAACATCATGTTAAGAGTTTCTTACTAAGAACTAGCACTTGAGAAAATTATATAAAATATGCTCAAAAAGATACAATTATCTCTAATTTTATTTTACTTTATTTTTTTGAGATGGAGTCTTGCTCTGTTGCCCAGGCTGGAGTGCAGTGGCACAATCTCGGGTCAGTGCAACCTCCGCTTCCCAGGTTCAAGTGATTCTCCTTCCTCAGCCTCCCAAGTAGCTGGGATTACAGGCACATGCCACCACACCCAGCTAATTTTTTTTTTTTTTAGTAGAGATGCGGTTTCACCATGTCGGCCAGCCTGGTCTTGAACTCCTGACCTCAGGGGATCCGCCTGCCTTGGCCTTCCAAAATGCTGGGATTACAGGTGTAAGCCACCGCACCTGACCAATTATCTCTAATTTTATACTCACTGCTTTTATTAACTTTTATCAAAGATACCTTTTTTTTTTTTTTTTTTTTTTTTTTTGAGATACTCTCATTCTGTTGCCCAGGCTGGAGTGCAATGGCGTGATCTCGGCTCACTGCAACCTCCACCCCCCAGGTTCAAGTGATTCTCCTGCCTAAGCGTCCAGAGTAGCTGGGATTACAGGCATGTGCCACCATGCCAGGCTAATTTTTGGTTTGTTTGTTTGGTTGGTTTTTTTTTTTTTTGAGACAGCCTCGCTCTCTCACCCAGGCTGGAGTGCAATGGCGCAGTCTCGGTCCACTGCAACCTCCGCCTCCCAGGTTCAAGCAATTCTCCTTCTCCTGCCTCAGCCTCCTGAGTAGCTGGGACTACAGGTGCCCACCACCACACCCAGCTAATTTTTGTATTTTTAGTAGAGATGGGATTTCACCATATTGGCCAGGCTGGTCTGGAACTCCTGACCTTGCAATCCGCCTGCCTCGGCCTCCCAAAGTGCTGGGATT